TTCTTTAAGTCGTTCAACAAGATCCTGGGACAACGCCAACGGGCTACTATGGCGAATCGACCTCAAGCTAATGGATTCGCAGAGCTTATGGTCCAGACAACTACCAGGGCTCTTAAGATGTATGTGCAAGATCTGGATCAACGAGATTGGGACGAGTATGCCGAACGACCCACCTTCGCGATCAACACTGCAAGAGATCGGATCCGAGGTGAAACGCATTTCTACATGATACATGGCTGGGATCCTAGATCTACCCCGGAAGCTGTGATCCCGGTGGGGAGTACTCGTAGGCACGATCGAGATCCTAGAAGGTGGCGATATCGAATGCAAAAGTATTATCAACAGGCCAGAGAACAAGTGAACCAACGTCTGCGTGAGGCGATTGTGGATCGAGCCAATACGCATAACGATCTAGCGCAACCTCATCCTGTAGAGTCTGGATCAAGGGTCTGGCTGTACCCAGATCGAGTACGTGAAGGATATGCGAAAAAGCTGGCGCACTTGTGGCATGGTCCGTTCCGCGTTGCCGAGAAGATCGGAGAATACGCCGTGAAGTTGGAGGTAGCAGGATCCGCATACAGCATTTTTCCGGTGGTGCATGTGTCGAAGATCAAACTGGTCAAGGCATTCCCAGATCGACCAATAGCTCGTCGGAATGGCTCAGAAGAAGATCGGGTGGACTTCGATGAAGCTCTCCTACCTGAAGATAGCTGGAGTAGCTGGATTCAAGATCGGGATCCAGATGAATACGAAGTGGAGCGAATTTCCAATATGAGGACTGGCAAAAGGACTAGATATGGCCGGATCTACCGAGAATTTCTAGTACACTGGCGTGGATATAAAGATCCAACCTGGGTAGATGAGGTAGATCTCAACTGCGGTGCTCTTCTCTATGAGTTCTTGCGAGATCGCACCAATCGCAACCGTTTTGGTGTGATTCAGTCCCACGAGGAACCGTGAGATCTGGATCCACACCGGTGAGTTGGTCACTAGTGTGGCTGAAAGTTGATGGATCTGCAAGAACGTTGCAGATTGGTGGATAAGGTTTACGTGACTTTGTATATGATGACATGTTGAAAGAGGATCGAAGTGGAAAGAGATTGACTTGGAGATAGACATGGAGTGAGCGAGGTTGAATTTCGATTGTGGATCTAAGATTGTATTATCTGAGAGGTTATGGATCAAAGGGCGAATGACAAACATGGAGGATATCGGTGAACACAGATCCGAAAAGAAATGACATGTATTACGCTTAAACGTAGATGATCTGAAGAGAGCATAAGGAGAGATGTCAGGATCAAGGCTGAGGAGCAAGAGGTGGCGCGTTAGGGTTCAGAGCTGCCATGTTGAAGAATTTACCTGCGAGACGAGTGATCCGGCGAGCGGGGTGACCTGCATGGTGCAGTCGGTAATGAGTACGCCACGGATCCGTGGCGTCGCACTCAGCGAGGGCCTCGATCAGGTCGGCAGGCTCACGACGATTCAGCTGGGGATCGGCGATGTTAGCACTGCGAGCCTCGATCCCGGGATACCAAGCCACCTCGTCCGTATGCTTGGGGAAGTGAAGGAAATATGGATCCAACAGCAGATCCAGATCACACCAGCCCTCACGCATCGCGATCAAGAAGAGACGTAGGATCTGCTTCCACCTGGCGCCCGCATGGGACCGACGGTTCTTCCGCTCCACGACGAAGGCGGCCAAATATGGATCGCTGCGGATCAATGCCGACGAAACTGGGAAACGTTGCGTGGACTCCCAATAGGCGATCAGATCTGGGAATTCCACCGCAGAATACCTCTCGATCAGGAATCCCAAG